TAATAGGCATGTGGGGGTCACCTCACTACCGAGTCTCTTTGATGATCATGCTGTTGTTGCCTCGCAGCTGGGCCAATAAGTCTCTGAATCCTCCTCCTCTTTTAGAGATGGTTTGTTTTGGGAACTCCTTAAAACTGTCCAAGGGGGGCAACCTGAATGTCACATCAGAGTCGTCTGGACCACTTTGAGACAAGATGCTGCAGTGACTGCTCATAGGATCAAAACTGTAGTTGTGAGTGAAGCCATTTCGTCTTGGCACAGTATTGTGATTTAGGCTGATTGGTTGGTTTTTGTGGGTACGTTTCTGTTTTGCCACACGTGTGCCCTGAGAGTCTTCTCGAGCCCTCTTCTTCCGGTTCTTCTTTCTCTCCTTCATTATTGGCTTTTTGACGCAGTGAAGATTTCTAATGAATCAAAAAATAATAATCTTTACATCTCATACTTGAAATAAATTATATTTTTTTTCTATTGCTTTGTGAATATATCACCTTTGTAAAAATACATGTTGTCTTGAGCACATATCTTCAGCCGGCATCTTTTTTTTTTTCATGGATTTTTTCACCACTCGTAGTTTGTGGATGAACTGCACAAGACCCAAAACATTCCTGCAAAATGGAAAAAGGGCAAATTATCAAAAATATTCATTGTCATACATCCAGCAGCTGTATGAGGCAGTGATATATTTATGTTACTTACCTCTTGCCGTCAGGTTTCTTTTTGCTTCTCCACGGTTTGAGAAGAATCCATTGGTCACATGTGAGAGATTTGGGGTCTAAATAACAACACAAAACATTAGCACTGCTAAATCTATGCCTTAAACAAAAGGAAAATAAACATGTGCTTACTGGTGCCCAACAGTTTGTGCTTGAGAGGGGCCATCCTCTTCGCCTTCTGCTGAAGTTTGTGGCAGGCTGAACATAGGGTCAGTGGTTTGTCAACACAGGGGTCATAATTGCTGGACGGTCCTGACGTGATGCTGCTGACTGAGACCTGGTCATCGTCTGATTGGTCAACCCCATCATCTGCCACCTCCACCCATGGGCTGGTCTCCTCAGGCAGATTCTCATGACTTCTGTCAATGAGGTCCAAGATGTCATTGATGGTCTGCTTGTCCACATCAGCCACTGTTTTGCCAGATTGTGCCTTCTTCCTCTCTTTTTGCTGCCTCTTTCCCTCTGTCTTGCATTGTATAGAGTCTTCACTTGGGCTGTCTTGGTCTTTTAAGGTTTTAGGCCGATTACAGTTTCGCTTTGGATTCATGGGGTCCTTCCACTTCACAGAATATTCAAGCAATCTGGAAAAGAAACACTGAATAACTGAAAATTTGACTTACATTTCTGAAGTTGCTCTACTGACATAAAAAACAATCTGACTGCATTCAGAACTTGTACCAAAAGCTCACCTGTAGTATTCTACCTTTATGGAAAACATATGCATCATAGACTCCAAGCTATCTGACTTATCTTTTCCCAGGCTGAAAAACAATAACATAAGAGACAAACTTTCCTCCGTAAATACAAAGTAAACCTTGGCTCGCATAAAATTACATAAAATGGTTGTGAACGAAGAAAATTGGATTAAAACCATAGTATGGTTAAAATGTATGGTTATTTTAATAGATTCAGGGGTTAAACGAGTCCCATTGAAAGAAAATTTACGTGGTTATTTTGTTTGGTAAACAAAACAAACGTTACCATAGGGGCGTGTCGTTGTAGTTATGATCGATTAGATTAACATTGACCGTACGCGATTTAACCGAAAATAAACTAGCTAAAGTCGGCCTTAACAGCAATAAAAGGTAGAAATCCATACATTTAGTTATCCAAAAACTTACTCTGACCCATCTGATTCACAGCTGCCGTTTTCTGACATGTTAAAAACTACTATGATCACAAATAGGTTAGCGACAAGTGGGAGATTGGCAGCGTACCAGGCTCCAGAGCGAACGTGTGCTCAGCTAATGGATCGGTGCCGTGGGCTCGGGTTCAGTGTGGCCTGGCCCGAGTCTGTAAAGATGTTCCGCCACCGCCACCTGAGATTGGCGCGCTGCTGCTTCTCCGTGCTTCCTCTGCTTTGTTTCTATTCAGAAATAACGTCAAACTAGGTCCATCTATCGGACCGGGGCTGTAACTACAACCTGTGTTGTTCATATTAATAAAAATGAACCAAAGAGCTCATGCTCGCACTTAATTTTTTCTTTTTCTTTTTCTTTTTCTACTATCTCCCTATCCCCCAATCACCATGCCCTCTGCTGGTAACACCATGTATAACAATATCACGTATCAGGACATCCTCTCTTCTTTAAAGTTAGAATGGATCAGAATAAACAAAAGAAAATGTTTTTTTTGTTTTTTTTAACATTCAATGTGCTTGTAAATAAAACCAAGCTTTTTAGAACAACTCATCTTTGCATTCTATAGATCCATAACATTAACACATCTCTAGTCTATAGATTCATAAATCAAGTCTGACAGGTCTCTTAATATGACGTTCAGATCTTCTTAAGGCAGGTGACGCTAAGGTAACATCATTTGATTGTTCATGTCCATTTGATTTCAGTTGAGGCACTGTGTTTGGAGGTGACACAGCATCCTTACGCTGTGCATCATCACAGGTTTCTGGTAAGTGTGCTTTGATTTTGAGAAGGTTTCAACGGTTTCTCCTGAGAATGTTTCCATCCTCAGTTCTTACTTCATATGACCTAGATCCAACTTCCTGGAGAACAGTTGCTTTTCTGTTCCATGCATCTTGATCTTCGATTCTCACAACATCATCTTTTGCAAGTGGTGAGAGTGTTTTGGTAGCTTTATCATAATAGTGCTTTTGCTTCTGTTTGAGATTGTCCAGTTTTGTTTGTATCTCTTTGTTCTGTTTGATCTCTGTGTAGCAAGGTAAGGTCGTGGGTAACTTGCGATTCATCAATAGTTCTACTGGAGATAGACCACACTGAAGAGGAGCAGTCCTGTAGCTTAAAAGAGCAAGATACGGATCTGATTTGCTGTCTGTTGCCTTTTTCAGAAGCTGCTTGACAATATGCACACCCTTTTCCACTTTCCCATTGGCTTGTGCATGCTGAGGACTGGAGGTCACATGATGAAAACCATACTGCACTGAGAACTGCAGCCATTCTTTGCAGTTGTAGTAGGGACCATTGTCACTTATTACAGTCTCTGGTATCCCATGTCTGGCAAAAATGGATTTGACATGTGTTATGACACTGGTTGCAGTGGTGCTTGTAAGCAAGGCGATTTCAGGGTAGTTGGAGTAATAATCAATCACCAACAAGTAGTCTTTTCCATTGTAATGAAACAAATCTGTTCCCACTTTCTTCCAAGGTGCAGTTGGCAGATCTGGAATCAACATGGGTTCCCTCGCCTGCTTGTTCTGGTACTTTTGACATGTTTCACATTTTCCAATCATGTCTTCAATGTCTTTATTGATGCCCGGCAGTATACGGTGTTTCTGGCTCGTCTCTTGCAGTTTTCAATTCCCAAGTGTCCCTCATGTATCCTCTGCATAATGTCTATTCTCATACTGTGAGGAATCACAATCCTTTGGTCTCTCAGCAACAGTCCATTTAATACACTGAGCTCCGATCTGATGTGGTAATATTTTGGACATGACCCTTTTGGCCAACTACTCTGAATATGTTTTATTACAGTTTGTAGTTCTGCGTCTTTCGCTGTTTCTTCACTTATTTGTTTTGACTTGGTATCAGACACTGGTAGGGACTCAACAATCATGTTTACATGTTCCTCCACTTCTTCTTCAGTTATATCCATGAAGTTCAGCTCTGGTGCTCGTGAAAGTGCATCTGCTAACACTAAATGCTTACCAGGTGTGTATATTAAGTCAAAATCATACCTTTGTAGTTTCATGATGAGGCGCTGAATTCTTGGTGACATCTCATTCAAGTTTTTCTTTATGATGGACACCAGCGGACGGTGATCTGTCTCAAATGTGAAAGTGGGAAGGCCATAAACATAACAGTGAAATATTTCTAGCCCAAAAACTAACCCAAGACATTCTTTTTCAATCTGAGTATATTTGGTCTCAGTTTTAGTCATGGACCTAGAGGCATATGCTACTGGCTTCCAATTTTCACCATCTGCTTGCAATAAGACAGCTCCGAGTCCATCTTTTGATGCATCAGTTGAAATCTTAAGTCTTTTAGTAGGATCATAATAGGCTAGCAGTGGAGCAGTTGTGAGTGTGTTTTTTAACATGTTCCACTCACTCTCTTGTCTGCTTGTCCACTTGAACTCTATGGAGTTGAGAAATAGCTCTCTCGAGGCTGATGTTTTCACTGACAGATTGGGTATAAACTTCCCAATGAAGTTGATCATCCCTATGATTCTGAGCACACCTTTCTTATCTGTGGGACGAGGCATGTTGAGTATAGCTTTAATCTTTCCCTCATCTGGCTCAATGCCTCTAGCTGACAGTTTATCTCCAAGAAATGTTATTTCCTGTACACCAAATTCGCATTTAACACGATTCAGTTTCAGTCCGTTTTCACGTATCCTTTGAAGTACTTTTTTCAGTCTTTCATTGTGTTCTTGTAGAGTGGAGCCCCAGATCATCAACATCATCTACATAACAGCGAACTCCCTCAAGTCCTTCTAACATATTGTCCATAGCACGATGAAAGATCTCAGAAGCAGAGATTATTGCAAATGGCATTCTCAAAAACCTGTACCTGCCAAAAAGAGTGTTGAAAGTGCAGTATTTGGAGCTTTTATCATCCAGCTTTATTTGCCAGAATCTCTGGGCCGCATCCAGCTTTCAGAAGTACTTGGCTCCAGCCATTTCACTCGCAATCTCCTCACGTTTTGGAATCTGGTAATGTTCACGTTTAATGTTTTGATTTAGATCACCAGGGTCCATGCAAATCCTCAGTTCTTTGGTTTTGTTCTTTTTGTTCATGCACACCATTGAGTTTACCCACTCTGTCGGCTCCTCCACCTTTGTTATGACTTGTAATTGACACATCCTGTCCAGTTCCTTTTTAAGGCAGTGTCGAAGTGGTGCTGGAACTCTCCTTGGTGCATGAATCACTGGTGTTGCATCTTCTTTCAGTTGGATTTTGTAAGTATATGGGAGACATCCCAAGCCTTTGAACACATCCTGATACTGTTGTACAATAGTCAGTCAACTGATTGTGTATCTGGTAAGAAGCTGATGTGGTGGACTCTCTTTACTAGTTTTAGTTTCTCTGAAGTAGCCCAACTAAGTAACAACTCACGGCCCTTAGGTACAATAGTAAACAGTATGTGATAATTTTATTGACTATTTGTCAAATAAAAGTAACAAACAAAAGCGTGAGCAAACTCAGAACTAAACATAACTCAAATAAACACCTTTGGGCACCATGGGTATGTGGTTTACGCAGTACAAATCAATGTCCATGACTAGAGATGATTTTCCAAGATTTATTTTTCAGTTTTTTGGCAAGCAACAAGGAATACATGTTTAAGGTCTACTCCTGCTGCCCCTCCTCGTGACTGGTAAAAAACCATAGACCCACCCAGGTGCACTCTGGTCCATGTGTACCATCCTCCTTTATCCCCTAGGTGACCCAAATTAAACCAAAAACAAAAAGAGGTGCAAACGTAAATAATACCAACTTAGACCAAGAAATTAGCAAGAATAATATTAACATAGCAAAAATATATTATACAAATTAACAAAACCAAAATTAGTAAACTAACTAAACAAACTAAAATAATAAACTCATTTTAGAATCAACAAAATAAGCAAATAGCTCCTACAATAATCTTTGTTCTTCACTGTCACTTTGAGTCTGCACTGACCTCTGCTTTCAATGGACTTTCCATTATAATCTTTTAGAAGCACTCTTTTGTTGATTATTTTGGGCTTTTCTTTCATGGCACAAATTTCTGTCGTGCTGATTAAGTTCGCTTGCGCCCCTTTATCAATCCTTAGTGCTACTAATGCTCCATTTATTGGGAGTGACACAATCCAAGTGTCTTCACTGTCTGGGTACTTGTCATTTTCCGCTTTTTCATTGGGATCTGTACAATTACATGACACCATACCCACAAAGAAAGTCTCACTCAGGTCAGTTTCTTCAACTAGTCGGACTGATTTGGATTTGCCCTTTGCTAGACATTGTTTTGCAAAGTGAGTTTTACCATTGCATTTTGCACACTTCTTGCCATAAGCAGGGCACTGCCTGGGCTCATGTTTGCTACCACAACGTTTGCAGGAGAATTTTACGTCTGAGGTTCTGTTTTGAGTCACATTTCTTTAAATTTTTTTTTTTGGACTACAGCTACTTTGCCTCTCTCAGCAGTCTTTCCCTTGTCCGTGTATCATGAATGCCGTACACAATTTGGTCACGAATCATAGAGTCTTTCAGAATTCCAAACTCGCATGACTGTGCCTTTAGCTTCAAATCCGTGATAAAGCTATCAAAAGTCTCTCGGAGTTGTTGTACACGCGACCGAAACACGTATCTTTCATAAACATTGTTTTTCTGTGGTGAACAATGAGCATCAAACTTTTCGATGACTTTATCATATTTTTGTTTATCGTCAGCCTGTTCATATTCAAATGTATTGAAGACTTCTATGGCTTGGGGACCAACCACGGTGAGTAGTAAAGCAATTTTCCTGGCGTCGGATTTTGACTCTAATCCCAAAGCAGCGAGGCACAGCTCGAACTGCTGCTTGAAGGACCGCCAGTTGCCGTCCACATTACCCACAAGTTTCAATCCCTCCAGTGGCCTCAACGTCTCCATCTTGAACAAAACTGTTGCACGACTGTTGCGATCAGTGAGAGTTTGGAAGTTTGGAGACAGTTTAAACTCACAAAAAATACATATTCTAACAATAACAATTCTTATTTCTTAGGTAACAACCTGTGGTGTCGCCTGGATGACAGAGTCAGGCAGACACAAACACAAAATGTAATAGCAGACGCAAATATTGAGGTCCAACGGTACATGATGGAGCCAATTATTGGAAGGCTGGAGGACCCCCTTCAATACTGGGAGAGACAGAAATATGTCTATCGCCATTTATATAAATTAGCAGTGGCATTCTTGTGTACGCCTGCCTCATCTGTGCCCTGTGAGCGGGTGTTTTCGAAAGCAGGAGAAATATTGTCAAAAAAAAGAAATCGCCTGAGACCTGCCACAGTGGAGAAACTGTTGTTTTTAAATAAAAACCAATGATGTGTCCCCTGAACCATAATCACCCAACGTTACAAATGCACAATCACTGTCCATACTCCAACCCCAACCACCCTCGCCTCACTGTAAATGATCATTAGCTTTTTCATAATTTCCAAATAATAATTTTCCATACTGCCAGTATATATATATATAAAAGTATTTATATTTATATATATATTTATATATATACACACACAGTATACATCACTACAATATACATGTTTTGCATACTTCTTTATTTTGCTGACAGTTTTATTCACAGGCTTTCTGCAAAATGCAACACACTTCAAATTCATGTCAACTGATATTTTTTGCATCCAGTAGATGTCCTACTAGAGCAAATGAAGCTTCAGGAAGCTTTGCACCAGAGTGAACCAATTGGATAAAAGGCTTCAATGCTTCATGAAGCTTCATCTGCCCATCACTACTCCTGGTACCATGTGTTGTTCATAATAATAAAAATGACGAGACATTTTTTTATGAACCAAAGAGCTCATGCTCGAACTTTTTTAATGTTTTTTCTTTTTTTACTGTCTCTCAGGAAGTCCCACCCCAATCACCATGCCCTCTGCTGGTAACACCATGTATAACAATATCACGTATCTGGACACAACCCAGTACAACAGTGGATTTTAATAGATCCGTGACTCACTGTTCAAGGCTCCTCATGTAGTAAGTACTGTTAAGTTATTATATATATGTGTCATGACGTTTTAGTTTACTATGTCGCTTTTCTGGTAGAAGGTTTGCCACAGACTTTGCATCTTGCATTTAGTCTAGGGAAATACTTCAAAAACATGCATTCTTCATGTGAGTGGTCTCGCCTCTCACGGATGTGGCCTGTTAGTCCACATAAAATTACACATTGATATCAGTAACAGCAACACTACAAAAGTTTTCCCTTTCTGTTACTTGGCATTAATCATACATACAGATCACACAGTGAGCATTTAAAAGTAGAGGTCTTTCCAACCATTTAACTCCTGTATTGTGGATACCCATATGCATTTAATAATATCTAACAGTACACACATACACAGGTTTTGCAGTCATCACAGCATTGGCTTGTTGTTAGTGATTGACTATGATTGCGTCTATCGGCTCTTAGGACTTTGGACACATACAAATACACTCTAAGCTCATTCACAAAGGAATTTCCTAGAGTAAAGGTGAGACTTTCTTCAACAAAGAGGGTGTAGTTCTTCCTTTAAAATAATCTTTCCCCTACATTTTCTAGTCATAGCTGGGACCTGCTCTACCCAAAGAAGAAGGCAACAATGTGGAGAGCAGCTCTGTTAGTGTATGTGTTACTGAACATGGCAGAGGACAAAGTGCTTTCAAGCAATGTGTCCACCAGCTCTACTCCTTTCCTGGGTAAACTTTTGGTGATCCCAATGGATGGAAGTCACTGGGTAGGCATGAAAGCAATCGCTCAGGAAATGGGTCGTCGTGGACACCAGGTGACAGTTGTAATGCCGGAGATCAGTATCCGTATGGGTCCAGGGAAACACTACCAGACTGTCACTTTCCCTGTCCCATACGACAAGGCTTATATTGATACAGTGATGTCAGGAAACGCCAATGTGATGAGTAAAGACATGCAGTCCTTTATGGAGAAGGTGAGAAAGAGGATAACACAGTTTCAGAGAATAAGAGGATTCCTTTTAGACACAGCAGAGAGCCTTCTGTTCAACAATACACTCATCTCTCATCTTCAAGAACAGGTGAGACAAAGTTGTGATGAATGAAGTGAGTGAATGAATGAAGAAGTGTGGGATTAACCTAACTCACAACACCTATAAGCATGATTTGTTCAGCTGTTTGTCACTGAGTTTGTATTGAGTTTACTTTGCACATAAACGTAACTGTGGATGTCTGCATGAATAATTACAATAGAGTCTAAAGTATTACTTTCATCATTTACTATCATTTTAGAGCTGGGACAGGGACAATTTCTTTTTTTTTTCTTTCTTTTTAACAAATAGTCTTGCCCCTGACTTGCATAAGCAGAGACAAAACAGTTTATAGTCAAAAGCAACTGTCAAAACAAGTAATATGGTGAATGAGAAAATGCAGCCACTGTTTAATGAATTAAATTCATTAAATATGTATGAATACAATTGATAGTCATTTTAACAGATTTTTTTGCTCAGGGTTTTGATGCTGTGCTGACAGATCCTATGGTTCCAACTGGATCAATAATGGCTCGTAAATTTGGCAAGTTGTGTTTGTTGTTTAAAATGTTTTGTAATGGTGTGTAGATTTACCAGTATTTACAGTTGATGTCCAGGTCTCCCCACTATAAATCTACTAAGAGGCATACCGTGTTCATTGGATTTTAAGTCTGCTGTCTGTCCCTCTCCACCTTCATTTGTGCCTCGCCTCTTCACTGGATACACAGACAAAATGAGCTTCAAGCAAAGAATTATTAACACTATAGTAAGTGGAAATGTTTATATTTTATAAACACTTTATTGCTACTAACTTCCATGTTATGTCTGACAAAATAGTTAGTTTAATGTGTGCAACTGACTCAATGAATTGTTCTGTTTTAAATTACCTGTGACCTACAGGTGGCCATGTTGGAACCATTGCTGTGCCGTTTGCTCTACTGGCACTTTGAGCAATTAACCTCTGAATTTCTTGGTGAGGATCTAACTGTGGCCGAAATTCTGTCTGACTCTGACATCTGGCTGCTAAGGTATTGTACACACAGGCTGAAAGTTGGCATATAAAATAGTTATCCATGTTTTAGATTAGGTAAATACACATCAAGTATAAAATCATGTATTTTCAATACAGACTTGACTTCACATTGGAGTTTCCTCGTCCTCTCATGCCAAATATGGTTCTTGTTGGTGGTATCAATTGTAAAGTAAGAAATCCTCTGCCAGATGTAAGTGTATTTAATCTCAGTGTAAAACATAAAATAAAATAAACTACAATACTGTGAAAATTGTCTTGATTTTTTTTTAGGATCTCCAACCATGGGTTTCAGGAGAGCATGGTTTTGTAGTGATGACCTTTGGTACAATGGTGACTAATATGCCAGAGGAAACCAGAATAATTTTCTTTGATGCGTTTAAACAAATTCCTCAAAAGGTACATGAAAATGAATTTAAAAAAATAATAGTAAAAAAAAACAGGCATAAATATGCATAGTAACATTTGCTAATAGGAACAGATAGCAATTTTATATCATTTTTTTATAGGTCATATGGAGGTACATTGGGTCAGTTCCCAAAAATGTCCCTAAAAATGTAAAGTTAATGAAGTGGGTGCCCCAGAATGACTTACTAGGTTTGATATTTCTAAAATATTAACACCTCAATGTTTTTATGTCAATAATTGTTTTACCTTTTTATCATAGCACATCCAGGGGCTCGAGCTTTCATAACACACGCTGGCTCACATGGCCTGTTTGAGGGACTCTGCCATGCAGTTCCTATGCTAATGATGCCATTAAATGCAGAACAACCTGACAATGCACAGAGGTTAGCATCCAAAGGAGCAGGGGTTGTGTTGAATATACAGACCATCACTACTGAAATCCTTGTACATGGACTAAAGGAGGTTATCAACAATCCAAAGTAAGATATCTTTTCAGGAAAATTGTATCAATTGCAATTTGTTGTATTTATCAATTTGCAATTTACATTTAGATATAAGGAGAACTTACAGAAGCTGTCGGCAATTCACAATGACCATCCTGTTGATCCACTAGAGCTATCTGTGTACTGGACAGAGTATGTGATGAAACACAAAGGGGCAAAACACCTCAAAGCTGCTGCGCATGAGCTTAACTGGATTCAGTACTTCAGCCTGGATGTCATAACATTCCTTTTGACTGTCACACTGCTTATTACAATAATTATAATCAAAGCTTTTAAAGTATGCTTCAGAAAGTTTAGCTGGAAAAGAAAGCAAGATTAACTAGAGGGAATAATTAATTTTATAATTAATACTGTAAAGCCCAACCAAGAAAAGTGTGCCAAATGGTCATCAAAAACATTTAATAAACAGAAATTTACAGAATATATTTTAAGTTTCCATTATGTGATCTGGGGATGAGGAACAAAGATAAACTTCAGTGGCCTCCCTTTTTGGGTGGGAACAGTGTATATTCTACAGCCAAAGCAACAGTAAAGGCAGCAAAGCCCCACTTGAATCCTCTCAGAAGAACCTCGGACAAAGTCACAGCACGAGAGAAGCCACCCGCATATCTCCATGCTTCATTACTACAGAGAAAGAGGAAAATATGTATTGCTATAGGAATATAAATTATATACTTTTGGTACACACAAAGTAATACTGACCGTGCCCATGGGTCCTTCAGACCTCTGGCTGCTAATCTCTGTTTTGTGAATTCCATTGGTGTTCCCTCAACTTTCCACTGCTTCCAGTCAGGCAAAGACACTTTGCTGTGTCCATGGTCCCCTCCCATGCTGCAAGTAAACAATTGTTGTTACAGGGTGTATTATTGATCATTCAAAGAGTGACATAAATCATGTCAATATTGAGGGTATTCCATCAATGACTCTTAACAAATCCAGGTTTATCCTGAGATACTTTATTGCAACCAGACGTTCCAAAAAAGAAATAAGCCAAAGCCAATTCAGGACGCATCGCTTTCCACGTAAAATATATTTGTAAAGCAATGTTAAGTAATGTTTTTATAATGGCAAAGTGATTTAGCAATACATTAGTAAATAAAATATTTTACTACAAACGTAACTGAACGATATATCATTAATAAACTCGACAAACAGCAGAAAAGGTTCTATTTCCCACCAGACTAGCTAGCTAATAGCTTCGTAAAATACAGGTACGCTGTGTACTAACACATTAACGACATCTTTTCACCATTAAACGTCATACTTTGATGTAAAGCGAGATTATCAAGTGCCGAAGCAATCAAACAGAGGTTTAGTGTAGAAAAACCTTGAAAATGACCACTACCTGAATGTTTTGACGTGACCTCTGCCTGCAGTTGGACGACTTTTGCGACACAAGCTGCCGTTTTACAGCTACTACGGCGCATCTTTTAGGACATTATAGAGACACACGAACGTCTCATATTAATTCAAATGAAGATACTACTGATTTTTAAAAATAGTACAGTATTTGTAAGGAATATCTTTCTTTTTATAATAAGAATGAAAATTTGACCAAATTCCATTGTTTACAAAGTCCAGCAATATCACACGCGAATAAGCCTCATCTCATGTAATCTGCAGTGCATTCGATTCATTTTAATTTTTTTTTTACTAGATTTAGAGATCATTCTAAGCTGCACAGCACATTACGTTTTATTGAAACATTAATTTACAAAACAATATTGCAAAGGAAGACTCATAACATGAGGCAGTTTTTAATTTAATCAAGTCCATAACATATGCTTCTAGGTTGCCTAACAAGTTCAGAATGATCTCTCTTTGGTACATGCTCCAAGGGGCTTTCGTGTGTTATTTACTTGTATAGCATGTTATTATGGTTTGCACATTGTTTGGGTTTATAACAATAGATATTTATTTTACAAAATAACTGTGGTTTATTTTAAATTATACATTTGATTTATCCAACAGATTCCATATGTAACACCTGGAATTTACAGGTAGCTTTAATAACAAGCAAGCCAGTCAGTGTATGGGTCTAACAGCCATACGGCAGCTTTTATTTACAAAAATATTAAAGGCAAGGCAAGTTTATTTGTATAGCACAATTCATACACAAAGTAATTCAAAGTGTTTTACAGAATAAGAAATACATTAAAATCATAATAAAAACAAATCAAAACATAAATAATCATGAAGATAAAAATTTAAAAAGAGAGACATAAATTGGAGAGAAGAGTGCGGAATGAAAACCTTTCAGTTATATGCACAGTCAAACAGAAATGTTTTGAGCCTGGATTTAAACAGCGTCAAAGAAGAGGCCTGTCTCACATGTTCAGGAAGACTGTTCCAGGTTTTAGCTGCATGAACCTGAAACGCTGACTCCCCTTGTTTAGTCCTGACTCTGGGCACCAGCAGGAGGCCGGTCCCTGAGGTCCTCAGAGTGCGAGATGGTTCATACGACACTAACATGTCACAGATGTACTTTGGTGCTCGGCCATGGAGAGACTTGTACACAAGCAGAGCTGCTTTAAAGTCTATTCTCTGAGGCACAGGAAGCCAGTGCAGAGACCTGAGCACAGGACTTATGTGCTCGTACTTCCTAGTTCGAGTCAGGACCCAAGCCGCAGCGTTCTGGATGTTCTGCAGCTGTCTCACAGCTTCTTTGGGGAGACCAGTGAGCAGACCATTACAGTAGTCTAACCTACTGGAGACAAACACATGGATAAGTTTCTCCAAGTCTGCTTTAGACAATAAACCTTTGATTTTTACAATGTTTTTTAGATGGTAAAAGGCTGCAGATGTTATTGATTTGATGTGGCTGTTAAAGTTCAAGTCTGAGTCCATTATTACCCCTAGATTTCTTGCCTGATTTGAAGGTTTTAGAGAGAGAGACTGGAGGTGACTGCTGACACTGTCTCTGTTTCTGTGGACCAAACACTATGACTTCATTCTTGTCAGAGTTTAGCTGGAGAAAGTTGTTTTGCATCCACACACTGATCTGTTGGATGCAGTGACAAAGTGAGTCCACTGGTCCATAGTCTCCTGCTGCCAGAGAGACATAGATCTGAGTGTCATCTGCATAATTGTGGTAGGACACATTATTGCTGCTTATTAACTGGCCTAATTGCAGCATGTAGAGATTGATCAACAGGGGGCCCAGGATTGACCCCTGAGGCACCCCACAGGTCAGGGCCATGTGATCTGAGACACAGTTTCCAATTTCAACAAAATACTTCCTGTCTTCGAGATAGGACTTGAACCAGTTTAGTACAGTACCAGAGATGCCCACCCAGTCCTCTAGTCTCTGTAAGAGGATCCCATGATCGACAGTGTCAAAAGCAGCACTCAGATCTAATAGGATCAAGACTGAGACTTTGCCTGCATCAGTGTTCAGGCGGATGTCATTTGTCACCTTGATAAGAGCAGTCTCAGTGCTGTGGTGGGCTCTAAAACCTGACTGGAAAACATCAAGGCAAGGCAAGGCAAGGCAAGTTTATTTGTATAGCACAATTCGTACACAAAGTAATTCAAAGTGCTTTACAGAATAAGAAATACATTAAAATCATAATAAAAACAAATCAAAACATAAATAACTAGAAAAGCACTCAGAGAGCGCAGACCTCCGCCAAGGACTACCCCCATTTTTTATATAAATTGCGATAAAATCAGTCTTCTGGATCAGATCCGGATCAGCCTTTCGAAAATGAAAGAGGATCCCATTGTCCATCCTTGAGTCAAATTTCATGGGGTTTGGTCAATAATTAACCGAGATATTGAGAAACAAAATTTTTGGCCCCATTTACCACAATGTTAACTAAAATTTCAAAGTGATCCAGAATCCAGGATTTCTTCCGCATCACCCCCAAAATGAAATCAGTTTTTCCTTTTCACATTTCCAACAAATCCTGAAAATTTCATCAAAATCGGTCCATAACTTTTTGAGTTATGTTGCTAACAGACAAACAAACAGACAAACGCCGGCAAAAACATAACCTCCTTGGCGGAGGTAATCATGAAGATTAAAATTAAAAAAGAGAGACATAAATTGGAGAGAAGAGTGCGGAATGAAAACCTTTCAGTTATATGCACAGTTAAACAGAAATGTTTTGAGCCTGGATTTAAACAGCGTCACAGAAGAGGCCTGTCTCACATGTTCAGGAAGACTGTTCCACGTTTTAGCTGCATGAACCTGAAACGCTGACTCCCCTTGTTCAAGTTCAAAGGAGTTGTTCATTTGGAGAAAGTTCGTAAGCTGTTGGTAAACAGCTTTTTCAAGGACTTTGCCAAAAAACAGCAGATTTGAGATGGGTCGGAAATTGTTCAGTACTGTAGCATCAAGACTGCTCTTCTTTAGGAGAGGCTTAATGACCGCAGTTTTCAACACATTTGGGAATGTTCCAGATTGAAGTGACATGTTAACTATGTGAGCGAGTGGTGAAAGTAAACTGTTGAGGACGGACTTTAGAAATCTAGTGGGTAACATGTCCAGGCAGCAAGTAGATGAACTCAGACTGGTGTTAAACCGTTCCTGTCTCGGTCCTCGGACCGTGGTCAGAGGACACAGGGGAGAAGCGTCTTCGTCTCCAGGGCCAAAGGGGCGCAGCAGCCGCTCGTCCCTCGGGGTTTAACTCCCGTGTTCGGAACCTCCAGTGAGTGCGTGGGCTCAATAAACAAGTCAGGTCTTCGCTCAAGACTCGTGGTTTTATTTGCCGTACTGCACTAAATAACATGGCACATGATCCGGTCGCCTCCTCACCATTCATTTCACACATTGCAAAACTAAAAGCAGACAGACACCCGTACACTCCGCGGGCCCATTCAAAAGCGCGTGCCTCCGGGGGCGCGCACGCAGTCCCTCACTCACGCTCACGCCACTCACCACTCTAAACGTTGCACATAGGAGTACATATATATCTCATAACACTACCCCCACCCTGGATGGCAATGAACAATTCCACTCCAGCAGGAACAATACAAAACTGGTACACAATCCCCCTATATACAGGCCTGAGAATAACAAAGAGGTAGCAGTGTCCATTACAAAAAGAAACATTTTAGTTGGGTAGGCTATACTGCAACATATATATATGTCTACTCAGTGACAAAAGGGCGGCTAATTTGAGGTGAACATGAGTGACAAACAAAATACATTGGAATGTAAATGTCTCTAATTGAAAAGAAAACATTACACTATAATAATTATTCTATTACCCATTTAGTGGCGACCGGGAGCAACATAAACTGACTGATCTTCGTAATTAACATTCAAAATGAATAAAGTGCACATGGCATGGGAAAATACTGTGCTCTTGAGCT